CCAAATAGTTTAAACAAGTCTCGAAGACAGGGGGAAAACGTTTGTAGTTTTGAGAGCTAAAATGTGACTGCTTCACCAGAAGGAAAATATGCACATGATCTTACACATGCAGTGAACTCTGGCATGGAAATGCCTACTTAGATGTGTGCTAGTTGCCCCTCAGGGTTTGTTTGGTTGGTTTTGTTTTTTTACTTTTCCTTTTGGTGGGCTAGTCTTTTGTTTGTTTTTTAGCAGAATGAGGCCTAGAAGTTTGAACAATTAAACCATTAGTATAGGTTTACCTGGGAAATTACCTGTCTTCATAATAGGATTGGAGATGGCCTATTTGGAAGTGCCATTACTTGCATATTTTTTGGTTTTTCATATTTTTTCATTCTACCAGCTGGTAGAATGTGGTCTTTGTGAGGAATTTAGAAGTTGTTTTTCTGCCTGTGGTCAATTAAATCTTAGCTGTCCTTGACAGTAAGGCAAAAATTAGGGCAGATACATAAGGAGCACAGAGAGACTTGTTAGATATCTTTTTTTTCCTCTCAAGAATTAGGTTTTTGTAATACCTGAGGAAAAAGAGTACCAGTTTTGTGATCTAGCTTCTTGGGAATAGAAAAAATTACATTAGTTTCCTACTGCTGTCTTTATGAATCAATATGATCTTTAACTGTTCTGGGGGCTAGAGGTTGTGGATTTCTTTTAATGTCTATAGGTGAAGCTAATTTTCAGTGATGTTGTTTGCTACACTCCTAGATAAGTTTTTAGGAGCAGATGACACCCCTTCTAATCAGCAGGATATCATGTTTGAGTCTCTCTCCAACAGTCTTGATTCTGTTGAGCACAGAGGGAACATTTCAAAAGGCTTCCCTAACGTACAGCAACTTGTGACATTCTGAGGTTCATCTGAAAGAAAACTAATCTCTAAACTCACTGACACAAGCAATACATTTCCTTACATGTAGCTAGTATTTCATAATTCAAGTGTTTCACATCCATTTTACACAAGAAAACTTATTCCTCATCAGGCACTCAGAAGGGTTCAACACTGCAGCTCAGAGATACACCCTGCCCACAGCTTAGCTCAGATCCACCAGTAAAATTAATGAGCATTCACATGCATTTAAGTTGCTGGCTCAGATCTTTAGGCCAGATTGTATAGATGTATCTCAAAAAATCAAGATTAGCTTATAGATGCAATGATGAAATATCTTTATTGAGTTATTTTGATAATACTGCTTTTTAAAAAGTGGATAATACTGTTAAAAGCAGAGATTAAAATACAATGAGGCTGTTGAAGAACAACTACCTGGTGTTGTTTCATTTATTTTGAAGTGTCCAGATATTTTTAAGAAGTCGCTTTGAGAAGTTTTTTGTTTTCAGAGTTGCTAAAATTTAAAAAACAATCAAATTGAATCAAAATATGCTCCTAATTTTAAGAGAACCAAATCAAAACTCCATTTTAACAAAAACTATGTGACTAGGAAGAGTACCAAATTTGTTTCAGCTTTACAAACCAGGAAATGATGGTACAGTGTAAGGGATACATATATTAAGAAACATAAAATTAACTTGGCAAGCAGATACCCTCAAAACCAAATGCTAATACTTCAAAATAAAATTAATTTCTATCTCACTTTGCTAACAAAACTCTTACTCCAGTGGCTGAAGTAGTGACACCTAATTTTGGTTTGCCTTATTATTTCACATAACATCACAAAAGACGTATCAGATCCCACCTAACAAAACAGAGTATCATATGTTGGGTGATGTAATAAGGGTAGAAATAATAAAGTGGGATCACAGGTGCTGAAACAAGGAGCTTTTGGATGCCTTATGCTGAGAAAAGCCATGCTAAGGACTTTCATAATAAGGTATGAAATTGTCACTCTGGCAGTCTAGTAAGCTGTGTTTGACACTGGGAGAGTGCTACCTATCCAGAAACAGCAGGACATATTAAACAGTTCCTGTACTACAAACAAGGGGAATATAAACAATGACTTCTTCCTATATAACTCTTAAAGAAATATGATATTTATGCAACTCTTCAGGGGTCTAAGGTGGGAAAGACTATGACCTTTTTTTTCCTTTGACTAAGTAATTTTAAGGTCATTTGGATAAATACTGTGGGAGCCAACACTATCTGTGAGCTGCCTGATAGGCTCTGTGTTGGGCAAAATGCAAGGCACATCCAAGACCCACTGTGAAGATACAGCATATCCCAAATACCACACACACCTTCCAGTAGAGACAGTGATATAGGGAGGTGATTTCTGGCAAAAGAAAAATTCTTCTTTTCCGCAATCATCTCCCTTTAGAGAAATCACAGTTAAATTATAAAAAGTGCCCAACTTCTATGGTTCTTAGTCTTTGGGGATACAGAGAGATGACTTGCTGTGGAGATGTTTAAATCTCTATTGAATATAGGGTTTTAAAAGAAGAACTCTGCATACGCCAATGCATTCACTACCCACAAAAGAGTTTATGCATGTGAATTTAACTCAGTGAATGGTTGCCCTTGTTAGAAACCCCAGAAACTACTGTGAGACTGGAAGCAGAGTCCTAGGATGCCTTCTGGTGCTGTGACAATTTCCTAGTCCAGCCCCCCTTAGCAGCAAACTGGCATACCAAACAGCTCACCTTTCTTTGGTTTTCATGTCAAATGATGATTTTTTTCGAGCTTCGGGGACGGGTTGTGTGGCACAGTATTGATCCCCTCCTTAAGGACCCGGAGAAGGAACAGTGAGCGCTGCTGCCGTGCTCCCAGCGGAGCCGCCCTCTTTCGGCAGGAAACCTCCCAACACCACCGCTCGTTCCCCTCACAAACCCTGCCTGAGCCAAAGAGCTTTGTAAGCAACAAATTATACTGCACTAATAAACATAGATTTCTTGGCAAAGTACCTGATTTGGCTCCATCTAGTTCGATGAAAAGTGGTTTATTAAGTTAATTTGCTTACCTAAAATTTCCTGAATACGTTACTGCATCGCCACATGTCGAATGTCCTTCTAAAGGCTTGTGCAAGAACATCTGTGAACCTCCTGTGTCAGAAACATCTCATCAGCTGTATTAATCCCTTACTGAAAAGCGAATATTATTTCTCTTGGGTTGGTGCAGAATCTAGCAATATGGAAGCTGAACTGGAAATAAATCATGAGGAAAGTCTTGCACAAAAAAATCATTCTCTACAAGGGAACAGCAATTCTAGACCCAATAGAGGATGTGAACAAAACCAAATTAATCAGTTAACATTTGAAATTAGCAAATGGCTGATTTAGGAACAGTGTCAGCTTCTTGTGGCTTTACAGAGGCAAACTGGTAGCAATAATCAGCCACAAATGGCCTCCCTAGCACAACCAGAAACAATCAGCCTGCATTTCCAGACCTGTATAAAATTGAGCTGAGCTGTACCCACTTGGGTCAGAGAATGAAATTACCGTGACTCAAGGAGCAGCTGGCTGTTTGGAAATATTCACCTGCTTTTCCAGCAGGCTGACCTCCTCCAGCTGCCAACTGGAGGAGGCCAGGAGATATACTGATGCTCTCTACCACTCCTGGCTGGCAATTTTTCTACACTGCAGAAAACCAAAGCATTTTGTGAACTCTTCTTGTCCCACAGCAACCCTAAAAGAGCTGAGGTGCTAAAGTATTTATTAATATAATTGATTTTCAGGGTTTTGAACATTAAAATTTAAAGGACAGAAACCTGTAAACTCATTTTAACACAGAGGTAGGTAAAAACCTACCAGTGAGCCTTTTCAGTGTTTTTCTGCTCCTCATCCATGTGTACTTGCAGCACCTAACTGCAATGTGATCATATCTAGGATGAAAAAATGGGCACACTATTAAGACTATTTAATTGCCTAGCTGAAAGTGCTAGGAAATTGTGGCTCCTTCTAGGTTCTATCTACTTCTAGCTGCCTGACACCTCATATAACACAGTGGAGAGAAAACAGTCCAGGAAGTTCCTGAAGCGTGTGGAAGAAAACTTCCTGACACAGCCGGTGAGGGAGCCAACTAGGGAAGGCACTCTAGTTGTTTGTGAACAAAGAAGGACTGTTGGGGGATGCTAGAGGGGCATGATGGTTAGAGGCCACCTGGCACACAGTGATAATGAAATGACAGTTTTCAGTTCTCAAAGTAAGGGAGCAGGTGGCAGGATAGAGGAGAGGTCTGTCAGAAGAACTGCCACCTTCAACATTGGGAGGGCAGACTTTGGCCTCTTTAGAAGTCTGGTTGACAATCTCTTTGGAGGCACTCCTGAAGGGCAAATGAGGCCAGAAAAGCTAGACATCCTTCAAGAAGGGTCAAGAAAAGTTTAATAAGGAGCAGCTGAGGGAACTGGAGGTATTTAGCCTGGAGAAAAGCGGGCTCAGCAGGGGACCTCATTGCTCTCTACAACCATCTGAAAGGAGCTTGTAGTGAGGTAGGAAGCAGTCTCTTCTCCCAAGTAATGAACAGGACAAGAGGAAATGGCCTCAAGTTTTGCCAGGGGAGGTTCAGATTGGACATCAGGAGAATATTCTTCACGAAAAAGATTGTCAAACATTGGAACAGGCTACCAAGGGAAGTGGTGGAGTCACAATTCCTGGAGGTATTTGAAATGTTACATCTATGATTCTAAGAATCACAGCCCTTGTGTACTCACAGCTTTTAACAGCTAAGCTGCTTCTTCAAACATAGAAAGTCTTTTTGACCTGTGAGAGCAGCTGTGACTTCAGCATTTGTTGAAGGGGTACAAGGGTGCAGCTGCAGCTCCAGAGAGATGCCCAGAGGTTCTCTCCTTTTCCCTTTGCTATTTTGCAGCTGGATACATGCCCCAGCTACTAGAGCTCTGCACTAGCACTGGTGGTGGGAATCACACAGAGGCACCAGATAGAGGCAGAAGAAAAGAGATGGAATGGCAGTTGCTCAAGGGAAGGACTGTAAAGATGACCATCAAGCAACACCCCGAAGAAAAATAAATTTCCTTCCACTCACCCACACACTAGCAGACTTCACAGTCAGTCTGCGAGGCTGATGGGAGTGAAATATTTATTCCATAAATTCCAGCAGTCCATCAGCACTGTCAGCATCAAAGTGCAAGGTAGAACATAAAGCACCAGGGACTTCTAATACCAAACTGGCATCCACAGGCTCTAGATGTCTAAACACCATGACAGACAACAAGTGTAGATCCTTAAGGATCTGTTCATTTGAAATCTGACAGTCAAAGTAGTTCTTCAATCCTGTATAGGACCAGCCCAAGACCTTGAACTGTCATCTTTAACTTAAGAACTATTGTAGTTGTTTGACAGTCAAATGGAAGAATACTAAAACACAGTATTTCTTAGACTATCAGTAACACCTGTTCAAATCCACTCAGCATCAGGAAACATAGAGCTGAAGTTCTGAAGACTGATATTGCAGGATATGGCAAATTCATAGTCCACCCCCCACCTTAAGAATTTATCCTCTTATCTCTATTCCATCCTTTTGTTACTTATGCATTGAAGCAAGCATTGTATGACTAACATAGCCCAATGCAGCAACTTCATTTGATTCCGCTATTTAACAAAAATCAGGAGAAAATGTCACCCTACTTGTCACATGCAACCACATTCACTTCACCAGCTGCATGAAACTGCCACCAAGGACTGCTTAGAGGTAGGTCCACATTTGAGAGCAAGAAAAAATTTTAGATTCACATGCAATACAATAACAAAATATTACCAGCAGGCCATTTCTGTGAAAATGCTGTAAAATCTTTTTTTTGACAAAACAGTTGGGATCTTTTATCATCAATTAAAGCATTTGGATTCTTCAAAGACTTATGTCTGCAAGCTTGAACTGATGGCCCCTATTTCTACTATAAGTATAATGCTGTCATACAGCTGTGAACTGCTTTTACTGTATTTAGTCAGTACCTCATTTCTATCTTGAGCATAATCTTTTTTATCATTAAACATCACCTTATATTGCAATTATCTTCTGTTTTCAAAGACACTAGTTCAATTTTGTTGTATCCTGAATTTTGTTGTGTTCTGCCAGAGTCTCTTGATATAAGCAAATGTTTGCATTGCATAGCTGTTTATTGAAGTAAAATACGTAAAGAGGCAGCTCAAGGGTAGAGGGACTTTTAAGAGTGAGTAATGATTGGAAGAATAGTGCTGAAAGTCCTCAAAAAAAAGGATTTTGAGATAGAAATCATCAAGGCAGAAACCTAAAGGATGGAGAAAAATTACTTATTCAAAAATCTGATGGTTTGAGTTACTACATATGATATCACATACGTAGTAAAACATATACTGAAGTTTTAAGAACCCACTGCATTTAGCTAGTATAAATGCAGTACTTCCCTCCTCTTCATATCATATAGGCTGTAATAAAAATTTAAAAGTTCTGAAGTAGTGTGCTTGTTTTACTTTTTAGTACTTTGATACTTACCGAACTACTTCCTCCAGTTGCCTCAGATTCTTTCAAGAGAAAAAAAAAGCCTGCAATAGTGTACTACTTTTCCAATCTTTTTTCACACTGTGATTACTTTTTTAATGGCTATTTCTGAAGACTAACTCTACAGATGTAGATACTTTTAACCTAAGGGCTGTCTACAAAAGCATTAGAGCAGAATAACATTTTATACTGTAAATTTATCCTGCCTGTCCTGAAGAAGTTTTAGCAAAATCTTGTTATGCCCTTGATCACGAGCACAGAAGTTTTATTAGGTGAAGACCATGAAAGAGATTCACAGCCGCAGCAGGTGCAACTCCCTGCCTTTCAAAAGCTTCAGATAAACCCAAAGAAATGTTCAGGACTCTAGAGCTAGATAACTTACTTCTAACATCTTCAAGAGCAGACTCATTCCAACTGTGGCAGCAGCTAACTCCCAGAGCCAGACAAAGACCTTGCACTGTAGGGTAATGGAAAAATGAGATGGTAAAAGTGTACAGATGCGAGTCTGGATATTCACCTAAGCCTGGGAGAGAGCCTGTAGCTGCTGCTCTGTGCCCAGCTGTGATCAAATGACCACTGTGGAAAAAAAAAAAAAATATTCTTTCAAGGACCCTATTTCAAAGCTTCCCAGGCTGCGCAGAAACCTCCTGTTTCCCAGCAGTGATTTAGACTCTTGTCCTCTTCTGTTTACAGTGTAGAGACAGCACCTATCTTTCCTTTCTCCTGCATGAATTCTGCTACCTCTGTGGGAAGAGGCCAAAAGAGCTTGAAAGAGCCAGTAGTGGGTGGAGTGCTGCTGTTTTCAGTCTGTTGTGCAACAGCACCATCCAGCTGTCAAACAAAAAAGTTATCAAATGTTCATGCTACTATCCAGATTTGGTCCTTGTACCACAAACAAAATGAATAATTATACCTATTAAAAAAACCACAAAACTAAAAAAAAAAAAAAACCCAACAAAACAAACAAAAAAACCAAACAACCCCCAAATCAAAAAACCTTTAAAAACCAAAATAAAACCCACAACCAACTCACAGGTCCTTCCTTGCTTCTGAATTAATTATATTGATCCATTGTGTTATGTTTTCTGTGTTAGTACACAAAAGTGTGCTTTAGCAAACTAAGAATTCGGCCCAGTTTACTTCTGCCCAGTAAGACTGGCAGGCTACAGCTCACCTCAGTGTTTCAGTGAAGTGTGGAATATAAGCTCTCAGGTATGAGGAAAAGACCATTATCTTTGGCTCACAACCAAAGACAGTTAATCACACTACAGAAATTAATGGAAAAAACTCAACCATTTCATACATAAGAGCCTATGTTTTAGCTATCATAATTTACCACTTGAGCTTCAGTAATGAAAGCAAGAACAGCAACCTCTAGTGAGGGAAAAAAATGATGAAAAGTCATACTCAACTAACAGATCACTCGAGATGTTATAACACAAGGAAGAAAACTTCTTGCTCTCCATGATTTTTCATAAACTTGTGTTACTTAACAGTAACTATAAGGCATACGCAGTGGAAATAAGTGGCATTCCCTACAACAGATGACTGATCACCTGAATTAAATCTACAAGTTCACTGCTTAAATTGCTCTCAGTTCTACACTAAACTCATTTTTGTTGTAACACCCACAGACAGCTCACCATGTGTGTCCACTGATGATCAGGAAGTCTAATATTAGACTACTGTTCTTTCATTACATGTGCCTTAGCCTAACCTGTGTTCCCACATTCTTGTAATGATACTTGAAAGCAGGGAATGCACCTCTTTTTCTGACTTTCTGAAGTCCAGCACTAGTTCTTTACAAAGCAGTACAGAGTACCTATCAAAGTCTAAAGATAAGTCAGTCAACCTTCAAAAGAAAAGAACACTAGTGGAAACTTTCCAAGCAAATATTGGCAGGAAAAAAAAAAGTAAATGTAACAGTTTACCTAGGAAAAAGAATGTCTATACTTGAAAAAAACCTGAAAGGAAAACTTAGGATAAGTTCTTTTGTATAATATCTAATATATGTTTTAATTACTGTGAGCCCAGAGTGTAAGAGCACGGCAGCAGAAAAACAGCAAGCACTAGAATAGTAGCTAAAGCCATAGGAGCAAAGAACATGCCCAAAGATACGGCAGAGGTGCCAAATGACAAACCTGTGCCAAGTAGGAGAGAAGGTGCCCTTAGGCAAGCAAGGCAGCAGAACTAGGAGTCCAGAGAGACACAGCCCCAAAGAAAAGTGGACAATAGCTCCATCAAAATTGCAGCTGAGAGAGGCATGGCCAATGAGGAGGTACTATGGCTAAGTCTGACTAATGAAAGCAAGGAGTTCTTTCACTATGACAAGAACAGAGCACAAGACCTTCAAAAGGAGATGTATTAGAACATTATTGCAACACTACATCATTAGATCAGAGACAGAACAAAGGTGCTAGAAAAAAGATGGAATAAGAACAGACCAAAACACTCAAATCAGTAAAAAAAGAATTGGTGCCAAATGGGGAGAAAAAAAAGACTGGTATGTAGGAGGGTATTGGAAGAAGGTGGCAAAGCAGCAGTGGACAAAAGCAAGCCCTTGAATCTATAATGAAAATTTCTTCTCTGTTCCACACGAGGAAAAAAAAGTAAAATGTCAAAGTTTGCATTTAAGTGCAGAGAAAGTACTTTGAAATTAAGAATCTTATGATCTTGATTGAAGAAAGTCCATTTTCCTTGCCAGGAACTGACAAGAGAACTTGTGACATGGCTTAGAGGCCGCACAGCTATGCTCAGAGAATTGCATACTCAAAAGGCATAGAGTTACACACTTATTCCAATAACAGAAAGGGTAGGATCAATCCATTTCAAAACTCAGATGTAGATGGAGAACAGAAAGGAAGAGCGAAAGGAGATTTTGTATAGTTATTAGTCAGATCAAATAAGGAGGCAGGTGGAAACAACATAAAAATCCCAGCAAGCATAGAAATAGGCCTCCAGTGGAAAGAAACAAGGCAAGCCAGACAGGGGAAACAGGAAGCCATGAAGACTTTCCAAAACAGTCTAAATAGAGACAACACTTTTACACTATCCTCCATGAGGTCAGCCAGAGTTCTGCCAACTTGATCCCAGTAAGTACTAAAGGATTTCACATGGAACCTGAGCTCGTGATAGTAGTTTTTCTGTTTTGCCACAGGGTTCAAGCTTTTAAGCCACGACATCAGAAGGCAAAAGGTAAGAAGACACTATTTCCACTAGACAGCAACCTGTTTACACCTATTAGCTGTTCCGTTTAGTTAAGGAATCAATCCTACTTAAGATTACAGTACCTGTTCAAACTGCGCTTGTAGCCTTGTATGAGTAAGCATTTCTAAACCCAGAGCTTCAGCTGTCCAGAGAGTCTTAGATAGATGTACTATAGTTAAACCTGCCATGTCACTCAGAGTATATGTTTACATGTCTGCAAGTCCCCCCCCCCCGCCTGCCCACCAGCAAAGTATCTATTTACTATCCACAGAAAGTACTATTCAGAACTGAATTCCTCAGGTCTGAACTATCTTCATCAACCTCTCTAACCTTGTAACAAGCAAAGCTTACAGATCTGATTTATTGCAAGCTTCTGCTGTCACTGACAAGTACAGTGGCAGACCTAACGACGAGCTTGCTGCATTTAGGATTTTAGTTTATGAACAGTCTTATTTAAACTCGGGACACAGAATTCAACACACGTGGAAAGAGTGATAAGACCACACATAGTAAATCCATACTGTTGGGCAGAATAGCTGGGTGCACGAAACACGTTGCATGTACCAGCTTCTCAACCTGCTCCAGTCTTAGAACCACACTGCAACACTCATCACCCCCTCTTTTTACTCAGACTTTCTGCAGGTCCCATTAATTTTATATTTAGCATTTCACAGCAAGTTAGTTTCTACTTCCAAAATATCTAGACATAAGTTGTGTTGATACTCATGTCTTCCAGTAAAAGGCCAAGTTCCCATGACAGGAAGTATGAATCAAACCAGGCAGTTCTATCCTAGAAAGCTCACACATTTCAAAACTTAAGATCTTATTTTAATCCAAGATATGACAACTGTAGAGTTCAGTTCATAAAACAGTAACTTGCTGCTGGTAAGTCTTCATATGTACAGAGAAAACAGTCAATTCAAGTTTCTAGTCAGTAGGGCTTCCCCACTGATTCCAAGATTTTCTTTCTCTCGTCTGCTGAGGGCATCTCTGGTTTCACACCATTTCTTCTCCTTTGCATCATAATGGCATGCTGAAAATAGAATAAAATGACCATGAGAACAGATTTCTTAGAATCTCTGCTTCGGAGCTCCAAACAAACAAGATTCTTTAACAGAAAAACTTTTAATATATCAAGAACCAGACACACTATAACTAAGCTTACTAGTACTTAATTGAAGATACCTGATAGTTTACCCTGCTGCTTCAGAAGACAGTGAAATCCATATTCCCGTTACACTCCGTCAGACTAACGCACAATTGTCTGTAAATAGTTTTTTTGCAGTTTGCCAAGTATTTAAAGGCTAAGCTAAAAACTCTTTATTACTATGGCATAAGGAAATAAAACAGCAAAAACACATAGTTCCTCATTATACTTCTTTACCACAAGAGAGAAGGCAATAAGAATGAACTCTTCCTATGAATGAACCACCAAGTAAGAATGATCTCTTCCTAAGCTTTATCCTAAGTTAAAGCAAACATGATCCAAAACAATGGAAAACCAGATAACCTTACCTCACCTCAGAACTTTTTCATTGCCTACATTTAAAAGAAAACTTATTACCAGAAATGTCTGACTCAAATTGAGAGGGAAACATCAGGTACTGCAGGAACACACAACCTGAGGGTAAACTTAGAAGAATTGAGTGAAGTGCTTTGATGTGCATCTGCTTAAGTCTTCCAGCAACACATACTGAGACTACTTGGACCTGTAAGTTACCATAAAAACAGCAGCAGTCAGCATTAGCTAAGTCTGAAGGGTTCAGAAACCAGTGTGTCAGAAGTAATGTACTTAAAGCAAAACAGGGAGTAAAAATTAGAAAGTCTACTCTGCTTACCCAGAATTTTCTGCAGTTTTTGTACTTCAAAAAATAAGCAGTACACATATCCTTCTTATAGTTGTTTTCATTCAGGCATTTTGTAGTGGCATCTGTTTCCTTTAATAGGGGAAAATATACTTTAGAGCTGAGGGAAGTTACTGTACTCAGTGTTTAAATATTTCAACAAGTCCCAGAATATCTATGAAGATAGGAGGCAGCTTCTGAGATGAAAGAATACTATCAAAGAGAGCAAAGGAACATCTATCACAAAGGATAATCAGTACTTCCAAGTAGTGACTTCATTTGGAGTTAACAGACATTAGTAGTCTTTAAACAGTAAGGATAGAGTGCGCAGAATAATTGTTTACAATGATGCTTAGTATAACTCATAAAAGACTTTTAAAAAACAACCAAGCTGGTCTAACCAGGATTTCAGGCTCTGTTTTTAAGGACAGAAAATTAAAAGAGATTGCTATCAGTTGTATCACTCCTATTTATTGGGAATTACTCATTATTTCACGCTTACTATAATGGATGATCTTCAGCTCTTCCACCTTCAGAGTTTTAAGAAACTCTTTATGCAAAATGCTATAGTGTAAGAGTGGTATTCCTGAAAAAGGCCTCTAGAAATTGCATTATTTAACATCAAAACATAAAAACAGAAATCTCAATTTGATCATCTTACCGCTACACATGGATTTATATCGTGATCTCTAAGCTTTTGTGCATGCCTGGACATCTAGACAGATACTTGTACCTTGGATAGAAACAGAAAATAAACAGGTTAAGTATCTACTTTTATTAGTAACTCAGGATTAAGTCTGAACATGTAATAAAGGCCTTGTAATAACACAGAGTTTGGTTGCCTTTAAAAAAAAAACAAACAAAAGCCAAACCACTACCAAACTTCTTTTGCAAAAATGTTATTTCAAAAGCAGTAACAGCAAGGAAACTCAGGCAAGTTTAGCCCACCACCAAGACTGCTTACTCCCTGATGAATTTCTGCATAGAATGGAGTCACTGCAGTAACTCTCACACTAGCCCATGATATCACAAAGGAAGTGACCGCGTTTAGGAGAAACAGCTCCATAGAAACTGTTCACAGCCAACACACTGTAGGCGCTTCAATTAATAGTGTGTGGGAGGAATGTTCAAGTAAACTTTTCTAGATTTGTGCCTACTCTTTAGCTCAATCACATCTGTATCTTCACTGAGCTCTCCCAGGTACAACAAGTGCCCAACTACTTCCTGTGATGCTGTATCAAATATTCAATAGAAAGAGAAATGGTTTCCCCGCAAGGTGGGATCAGACGCACTGACACTTGCGTGACACCTTGAATCACATTTTTCAGCACTTTAGTAGTTTGACACTGACTCTAAGAACTGTAAGCTTAAGAGACACAGAATTCAGTGCCAAGAACCTACACTGATCCAAGACGATGACATCAAGATGAAGAGCAGACTCCCTTTCCCTTTACAACTTCCTATACATTGCCTCTGGCACACATATGGCCATGCAGGTATTTGTTCCAAACAAATACTAAATCTAACAAAAAATAAATTAATGTTGACCAGATGACTGTTTGAGGCAATGCAAGCAGGAACAGGACTGAGGGAGCAAATACTGCTGATGAAGGAAACTCAGCTGCATCTTTCATTTTTTTATTTTCCCTAAAAGTTCTAAACTTAAACTTGTTTCTGTTCACATTAGGGAAAGATAATGCAAGTCTGCAGTAAAAAGCCAGTTTTGCTTAATATCAGCAAACAAAAATCAAATACTGTTCTTTGTAACTCACAGACAGAAAACAGTGTTTTAGATGGGGTTTCTTCTTCGGGTAAAAGTAAGCCATTCTCGGCAAACAAGCCCTAGATTTTACATCCTAGGCATGTATACTCTCTCCTGATGCTTAGAGTACTCTCTGCATTCCACAGGATAGTCTTCTGCAAATGGGCCTTTTAACGAACAGCATCGGGAAACCCTTCAACCTGCCTTTGAGAACTATCCAGTGCTTAAGTTAACTTTACAAGCTAGGTAAATGTTTGCCTTTTTTGTGAGTGCAAGAGTATTTTTGATCTAGCACTTCCAACTCAAATGGAAACACAAGCAGGTATACTAGTATCACCCCAGACTTCAAGAAAGGAGGAGGGAGAGGAAAAGCAGCAGAAAGCAAAAGCAGCACATCACAATGCCTCACCTAAGTCAGCCTAAAAGACACAACATTTTTAGATGTTCGTTTGTGTCTGTGTTATAACTCTGCATTTCATTGATATTACCACCTAAGCAGACATGCCTTAAGGTGTACAGTATTAGCTTGACTTCAGACTTACTCTCTGAAAGAGTGTTTGTGACTCATAGGATCCGTTGTCATAATCAGCGTTCATTATACAAACTGCACTTAACGCTTTCAGTATGATTACAGTACCAGAGTCTGCAACCTTGCCTGGTTTAAGGAACAATGCACGCAATGCATTAAATACCTACTAATGAACAGGCAGTTCAGGTTCTCACGAAGCTGCTTAGCTCAGAGCAGACAAGTGCTTAAACATTCTTAGTACTACCGAAAAGCTCTGATAGCTCCTGCGCGTGTTCCTCTCTCCTCCTCTCCGAAGTACTTCAGGACCTGAAACATTATCAGCTGGAAGGGCAGGCGGGTCACGCCGAAATGCTGCTGTGTGACTGCATGAGCAGTTGGGCAGGAAGCGAGCTTCCTCCTCCTCCCAGGTTTTGCATAGGCACAGGCTTCCCTTCCTGCTTTCAGATCACAGGTCAGAACCCAACCACAACCAAAGGCCTGTCTATTCCGCAGTTCATAATTATGTTTTAACACATTAACAGTTGTTAACTGTACCACAGAGAACCAGAGCTGTTGCTGGCACTCTTTAGCCCTTGGGCTTTTTCAGTTCATAAACCCATCAGGGCACTTCTCCACAGGCTCCCTCCCATTGAAAAGCGCTTGGTCTGTTCTAAATGCACGTATACGCATGCAAAATCGCTAATTATGCTGCAATACAGACTAGCTTATTAAACTTTGAACCCTGAAGCCAAGGCCGTATTAAAAACCCTACGGCTTTTACCGCTGTTGCGGCGGAGGGGGGCGGGAGGCGGCAGCCTGCGGACCCGGGCGCACGGCCCCGCGGAGCTGCCGCCTGGCCGAACTCGGCCTCCCAGAGGGGCCGGGGGCCATCCAGGTGCCCACTGCCCGGCCCCTGCCGTCCCCCGCCCCCGGCGGAGCGGCCTGAGGCTCCCGGCGCCACCTTCCCCCGGCCCGGGTCGGTCCCCGCGGTCGGTCCCGCTGCCACCCCCCGGCACCACCTGCCGCCCGGGGAGCGGTGCCCGGGCCGCGCCGCCGCCGGGCCCGAGCGGAGCTGCCCCGGCCCGCGGGAGGCGAAGGGCGAGAGAGCCTCCCCTCCGCCGGCCGGGAAGGGGAAGCGGCGGCAGGCACAACGCGGGTCGCCGCCGGCGGCACTCACCTCTCCGTCCCCGGCCGTGTCCGCGGGAGCGCGGGGCGGGAGGGGGACAGCCCGTCTCCAATTCGAAAGACGTCAGCGGCTCGGGCAGCGCGCTTAAGTACGGGCGCAGCCTACCCCGCTCCCGGCCCCGCGGCTCCCCCCGGCCCCGCGCCGCCGCCGCCCACGCCCCGGCGGTGCTGAGTGGCACGGCCGAGCCGCCAATGGCGGCGGCGTCGCGCCCGCCCCGGCCGTGAGCGGCGCCTCCTTCCACCAACGGGGCGGGCGGCGCGGCCCGCAGGCGCCGGCGGCGGGGCGCGGCCGCGGCCCTGACTGACTGGGGGAGGCGTCCAACCCGCGGTGCGTGTGGGCGGCGGGCGGTGTGGGCGCGGCGTGTGCGGCAGGCTGGGCTGCACCGCAGCGCATACACTACAATGGCTGCTGGAAAGACGGGAAAGCAAACAATTTCCAGGCCCGCCGCGTCCAGCCCGAAATATGGGGAAAAAATTACAGAAAAATCGGAGAACACTGTAAAGGGTGGAAACGGGGCGCAGAGGGGATGCTGAGGCTCCCGCGGTGAGTCTGCTGCGGGTTTGGGGGGCAGGCGCCGGGGTTTAGCAGGGAAATATCAGGGTTATTTAAATTATGAAGGGGGAGGAGGAGAAGGAGGGGGGAGAGGAGAGAGGAGCAGCGAGCAGTGAGGAAAAGTTTGTGTTAACCATCCCTCCCTTCCATCCCTCTCCCCGCCATCTCCCGCAGCCCCCCGCCGCCCCGCGTCGGACCCCCCCCCACGAGGGGAAAAGCAGGGGAGGGGAGGCGAGGCGAGAGGCGCCCCCCCCCCCCCCCCCTTCCCCTCCCTCGCGGGGAGAAAGAGATGATTTTCAGAAAAACCTCTCTCAGGAGTTTCCTCCACTCCTCCCCTCCCTCCCCGCGGCGCTATGTTGGTTCGCGAGCGAGCGGGCGAGGCGGCGGGGCTGCCCGGGGGACGACAGGAGGGCGCGGGGTGCCCGCCGCCGACCCCCGCGCCGGGCCGGGGCCGGGGCCGCGGGGCAGGGGCAGGGGCAGGAGCTGCGCGGCCGCCCCCTCCCCTCCTCGCCTCTCCGGAGCCTGTGCTGTGAATGCAGTGACAGCGGCGAGAGCGGCGAGAGAGGGAGCGGAAGACATTAGAGACCGCGGTGCCGAAAAATGAGGGAAAAAATTAATATAAATTCGCCCACCGCCTCAAACCGGACAAATTTCGCACAGAAATTTCCCCCGTGGACCCGGCTACCCGTGGGGTGTCCCCGGGACCTGGCGGCTGCGGCTTTGGGGGGATCCGGAGTGACTTTGGGGCACTCGACCCCCCTTTCCCGTCGTTTTTTGGACAAAAGTTTTTTTTTTCGTAATAAAGAAACGAATTTGCCTGCTCTCTCCCTCCGAGTGGCCCAGGAGCTTTTCCCTTCCCCATCGGTATGTGTTTAGAGAAAAGTGTGAACCCAAGTAAGTGCTGAGTCGTGTTTCATTGGGGAGGGGGGTTTTGCTAACTGAAAGCAGGAGAGATCCGGAGAGAGAGAGAGAGAGAGCAGGGACAGCTTGTTGTCAGTATCATAAACAACCAAAATGGAGGGAGAACTGAGGCATATAACAAAATAAAAATCAGAAAAAAATGCCAAAAAATACCTAAAAATCGGAGCTGCTCCCCCTTTTCTTCCTCAAGGTAACAGAATAAAACCCGTGTCTTCCCGAGACCGTTTTAAGGTTTCAGGGAGCAAGGAGTTAATATTTATTATTTTTTTTTTGTTGATGAATTCTTTGGAAAGGCAAAAGCCTCTTATAACTCGCCACCGACAATGAGAAAACGTGAAAATCCCTTTCAGGAGAGAGAGGTAGGGGGAGATGATGGTGCAGAAAGTGTGTAACTTGGGGGTAATGTGGAGTGATCCTAGATAAGATAAATGCTTTATGTGCTGCTTTATAACTTCCTTTTTTAATGCTTTTTTGGTATGTTTGGGGGGGTTTGGGGAGATGGGGGCTCCTTTCTTTGCCTCTGTCTTTTTCTTTCCTTTTTTTTTTTTTTTTTCGGACCGGAATGTAATGCCTTTGTAGTGTCACTTTCCTGATCTAATTAGGATGTGTGAGGCAAAGAGTAAACCTTTCCGGTTTATAAAGTGCATTTTCGTTGTCTTTGAATTTCAAGTTTTCCTGGTAGCTCCCTCCTCTATTTAAACTGGATTCTTCAGAGCAGTGTGGGGTTGAGGTAATGCTCCATAGGGAAAGAAGAGAGGGCTCAGGGGCAGGGCACCTCTTCTGCGGATGGTTGCTGATTTCCCTGGCACGTTCAGTTCACCTGTTTGTCTCCTACAAAGAATGTATTCTGCAGTCTCCTCGTTTTATTTATATAAAATAATGATGCCTCATCTCACCTCACGTTGAAGTTAATGCGAAAGTGCTGCTGATGTTGGTTCCACGTGGGATCAGGGACATAGCAGGACATTTTAAAGAGACAGCTTCTCTTTTCCTAGGGTTATCATCACCTCTGCAGCACCTCTGCCTTTAGCAGAGGGATGGTTCGTTGTTGGTTTTTTTTGATGGAAAGCTATCAAATCGGCCCTGGTCTGATAAATTAAGGCAGGATAACAGGGAAAAACGTGCAGATTCGTTGGGATCAAAGCAATTCTTTTGTGTGTAGCAGGTCTTTAGGGGAGTTTTCTTGGTGTGTTAATTGAGATGCTGTGTTTTGGAGAGCATTTTTTGGAATGCATGTTGCAGAAATAAAATAGTCTCAGGTTGTTTAATATTAAGACCTAGTGCTGTTCTGCTAGCTGTGAATTCCCTGGGAGGAGATGAATTCCCTATGCGCGTAGGGCAATTTCATAGATATTTTGTAAAAGTTGTGAAGTGCATTATTCTTACTTTGAATACATTCAGTTTTGTTGGGAACACCTGAGTTTGCTGAAAAGCTTGTTCTGTACTTGAATCTCCTGAACAGTCCCCAAAGGTTTTGAAAATAGTGAAAGTAACTGTAGGTTTTAATTGGCCAAAGTAGGGGCTCTTTATAAGTACACCATAGCTGTGTAGTTATAGCATCACTTGGAAGAATTGCCTCTGGCATTGTTTAAAGAAAGAAAAATCATCCTAACTGTGGTCTAGTTTCATGTATATGTGTGCATGTGTGTGTGCATGCATGCTTTTAGCATGGGTTCTGGCTGATACAGTTTTATGCTTGATTTTTAACTTGCAAATGTTTAACTGTAATGATGTGAAATGCTCTGCTTATCCCTATTATCTCTTATGTATTTTAATTTTCAGTGAAATATCCTATTTAAAAAAATAACATCGCCTCTTAACATGGTAATTTTATATCTTTATGAGAGTTACAATGTTTCCTTTACATTTGCTTTGGTTTTTTTAGTCATTGTATTTAATTCTGTATTGAAAGTTGAATACAGGTATGTGGTTCTTGAGAGCAAAGCTGAAGTACTGAACTTGTAGGCAGGCTATTTCAGCAAATGTTTTCTTTGAATTTGTGGAAGTTGAGTATCAGTTGTGATAGCTAGCCCTCTGTGTTCAATAGCATGTGCTCACAAATGATCTGTACCTTTACTACAAGGGTGACCAAAGAAGCTTGTTGTCTAGATAGCCTGGTGGTTAAAAATTTGGGAAGAAATCTCAGAGTTTTCCAGTGACTCACAGTTGTGAAAATTAAATCACATTAACTACTTTTAGGCTAGAAAAAAAGGCTCATTAAGGAAGAAAGATTAATCAGTTTGTATAAAGGAATGAACTTTAACATTTTTCCAAAACTGCTTTTTATGGTTTAGAGATTCAGACTTAAAAGTTCCTTTCTGAATATTTCTTAACTTGATCTATTATTTTTATTGACTGAAGTAACATTACCCTGGAATGCATAGAAATTTGATAAATTAATAGCATTACACTATGTGTTAGTGGTTGTAATGTACCAGGGTAGATAGACAGATACTAGTAGATGTGCAGAACTAACTTTAATAAACTAGTTAATGGTATTGAGAACAGTATTTAAGAACTCTTCAAATGCTGTATCTATGACCATCAGTATGAAGTGTTTAATATGTTACTATATTTTTACCTAATTAAGAACTTCTTAATCGTTAATATTGTAATGCTGAAAATAGGTATAGGCACTGGTAATAACAACATGAAAGAAGCACATGTAGTGCAGTATCTTTCTTGACTTACAGCTGTGTATTACAAATTAAATTCAGTGTATCCAGCCATAGTACAAAATTCAGGACATAGGGAGGAGAAAGAGGAAAGGGTGTTCTCACAGAATTTGATGCTGTTCTAAACTGGGTTTAATTTAAGGTATAGTCCAGATGGTGATAATAATAGTAGAAAATAAATGTTGTTTAGGATTTTTTTTTTACAAACTTACTCTCTTTCGTAGAAAACTGAATTTTTCTTACAGTGATGAAGTGTTTTTTTAATAAAAATAGAAAGTAACTTTCAAAGCTTCCTTAGTTCTAAGAGTTAAGATAATCTCCTGTATTATGAGTTGGTCTGATTCTATACATGATACAGTATGATTTTTTCAAGATTTTCTAAAATTAAAACACCTGAAGAAACAAATGCTATGGGCTGTTGTTGGTAAAGTTACCCTACTTTTTGTAGGTAAACTGGAGAGCTGTAAATGTGTTAAAATCCTTCTTAGATACTTATCATTCCTATTCAATACTGTTTAAAAGTTAATAACTGCAGTATTCTACAACAGTACAAGCAAATACACGAATCTAAATTGATATGCATTCAGCTTTCCTTGAATGCTTAGTTCAAATGTGTCTCTTGGTGTGTACTTTTAATTTAGTAATTATCCTGAAAAAATTAGTTTCCCAGCATAGAACTTTTGAGATTTAAATTAAGAAACCTTTAAAAAGTTTGTGTAATTCCAAAAGGCACTACATACTAAGCACAGACACTTCTAATGGTTGTCCATCTCCGCAGCTAGTTAGTCAAAATGGTGCCCTTAAGTCTCCTCCTTTCAGGGTATTACATGTGTTTTAAAATTAATGGGTTAAAGAGGGTACTGCTCATGTTCTAAATAAACCACTGTTTGCAACTGTTCAAGGTTATTTTGTTAAAATGGATGTTTTGCTTCAGAGTCTAAAACATAAGTTTTAAAAATTTTTTATAAAATTGTTTATAACTTCTTATGTTGTTAAAATCAGATTTTATGAACAAATGCTTTTTGGGAAGGTTCTTGAACAACTTTATCTGTTTACCAAGGGGAGATATTCTGGAAAACATGAAATATGTTAGAGCACTTAGACCATTCTCAAATCAGTGTAGAGTTAAAAGGAGCTAGCAGTCATCACTACTGAAGTGATAGAGCACTTGCTTTCATGGAGATATTCTCCAAATATCTGCTACTAGAAAAGATTTAGCTTGCAGAGCTTTTGAAAAAAAATGTGCAGTATTTATCCACTGAACTTCTAAGCATCTTTAACCAATTACCAAATGTTTAGGTAGCCTTAAAAAACTATTTAAAAATAATTCAAATATTAGACCAAAGTAACATTTGTATTGATCAAATATAAAATGTTTAAATTTTTGAAGCGTAA